GAGTCCTTCTTGAGGAAGTGGCATTTAAATTGTGATTTGAAGGAAGATTACCAGTTGGGTAACTGGACTGCTGTCTTACCTGTTTGTCTTTGCCCACGTTTGCTGGCTTCTGCATCCGTCACTGTGCTAGATTTTCCTGTTGGCACTTGAGTGATCTATTGCTCATCTAATTGTTTCTCATTTATTATTATGTCTTGCCAATAAAACTAGAAGCACCAATTTTGTTTGTTTCTTTTTTTCTGCCTTCAGCCTTGTCATCATTGTTAGGTGCCATTGAGTAATTTCTGACTTATAGTGTCTTTTTGCATAACAGTGAAACTGCCCCACTTCTGCATCATCCTCAGAAATCATTGCTGATTGTAGCCATTGTTGCAGCCACTGTCACTCCATTTCATTGAGGTTCTTCTTTTTCACTGTCCTCGCATGGTGTCCTCCTCCATGAATTGATCCCTCCTGATACCATCCCCAAGCCATCCCTGCTTCTTGAAATAGCAGTTGAACTACTTCCACACAGATAAATTTAGATATAAATATATATCTCCAAATCAAAGACTAGTTTCTGCCTTCAAAAAAGAGATTAAAAAATTAATGGGAGAATAAATTGACAAAAAATTATTAACATTTGCCAGTTTGAGAACCCAGACAGGAATATTCACCACTCTTCTCCAGCACCACAGTTTAAAGGCATAGGTGCTGTTTCTATCATCACTTTTCATTGTCCAACTTTCAGGTGTATAGAAAGCAATTGAAAACACTGCGGCTTGGGTTAGAGGCACATTAGTCTTTAATCTTACATCCTTGCTCTTTGGTACTTTGGAGAGGTCCTTGATAGTATATATTCCTAGTGCAACATGTCTTTTGATTTCTTTTTAATTGTCTCTTGATTTTGTGACTGCTGCTACTATGAGTGTAAATTCAAGGTAAATGAAATCCTTGACAACATCATTCTTTTCTCTGTGTTGCCTATTGTTCCAGTGGTGAAGACTTTTGTTGTCTTAATATTGAGATGTAATATATATTGAAAGCTGTAATCTTTGATCTTCAGCACATCCTTCAAATCCTCTTCACTTTCAGCAAGCGAGGTTATGTCATCTGCATAGTGTAGCACAGGTTGTTGATGAGTCTTCAATCCTGACACCGTATTCTTCTTCATACAGTCCTGCTTCTTGAATGATTTGTTCATCATCCTGATTCAAATAGATATGGAGAAAGGATACAACTCTGATGCAATTTTAAGCCACACTGTGTGTTACCTTTAAATGGGCCAGCAAAGAGGTTATCACTAGAATTGGTACAAAAAAGATCAGTTGATGGTGGAAGTGGCCGGAAGACAGTTCATTGAACTTATCTAACCACTTTTTCTGTATTTCTTTGTTGCACATTTTCTTCTTCATTGCTATCGAGTGGGAACTGGCTAACCTTCCTTTGGGTTTCTGACACTTTAGGTTGTGGACTTTGGCTTAGCATAGCAATTCCCTGTGGACTGAACCACCAGAGCTTGCTTCTTCGCAATTGTCCTATCATTCTGGTCTTGTGGGTTTATTCTCTAAGTTCATATATAGATGTTTAGTACTTGTTAAATAAGGCAGAGAACCGGTCTTCCTGCGTCCAGTTTTCACTTCCTTCAATTTGGTCTGAACACAGCAGAGCAGCCAGTGTTCTCTTAAGATGGAGCTCATGCTGTTCCTATGCCCAGAACCCTGTAGTTGGTTCTGCATGGCGTCCAGAGGAAAAGCCCGAGACTTTCTGACATTGGAGGCCCTGCATGACTAGGTCACTCTTTTCTCTGACTTCATCTGTCACCCTTCCTGTTTGTTCTGTTCTTCACTGACTTTGCTGTTCCTCAAAGCAGACATGGTGTTCTTTGTACCTAGAACACGCTGACTTAGTTTAAGCCTTTGCGCGGTAATGCCATCTCAGAAAGATCATTCCCTCACTGCTGTTTTCAAAATGTTCTTCTTTATTCTCATTTTCCTTATTCTCTTCCTTAACCTGCTTAATCGTTGTGCATCAAAACCTAAAACCAAACCCAGTGTCTTCAAGTCAATACTGACGCAGAGCAGCCCTGGGGGTAGTAGAGCCACTTCGTAGAGGTCCCGAGGGTATAAATCCACACAGACGCAGACTGCCTCATCTTGCTCCTGCAGAGTGGCTGCTAGGTTCACACCATCTACCTTTTGGTTCATAGCCGAATCCTTTGACCACTGCACCACCAAGGCTCTTAAGTTCTCTGTGTTGTTTCTGTTATGTGCTGTCAAGATGACTACAACTCATAGTGACCCTATGAACAGTGGCACTGAACTTGGTCCTATCCTGAGCCAGCCTCACCATTTCTGACTCACCTGACCCCGATACTACAGTCATTGTATCAGTCCGTCTCATCCAGGGTCTTCCTCTCCTGCGCTGACCCTCCACCTTTCCAAGCATGATCTCCTTCTCCAAGAACTGGCCCCTCCTGGCAACATACCCTGAGTATGTGAGACAGAGCTTCCAGACTTTGCTTCCAATGATCAACCTGGTTCACCCTCTCCAAGACAGAGTAGTTTTCTTAGCAGTCCGTGGTATGTTCACTTCACCACCACCACAACTCAAAGGCATTGATTCCTCTTCTATAGTACTTGGTCATTGTCCAGCTCTAGTAAGCAATTGAGAAGACCATGGTGTGAATCAGGTGAACCTTACTCTCTGGACTGACATCGTTGCTCTTTAGCACTCTGGAGAGATCCTTGAGAGTAGATTTTCCCAATGCAATTGATCTTTTGATTTCATGACTGTTGATGCAAACTGTGTTAATTGTGGATCCGAACAAGATGAAATCATTGACAGCCTCAATAGTTCCTCTTTCTATCATGTTGCCTACTGGCCCAATGACCAATAATTTTTGCATAACACGCATTAATATTTCATGTAATTTATTCTCTGTGCATTTGTCTTATTTCTTCCTGCTATAATGAAAGTTCCATGTACATAACAGATTTTGGCTTCCTTTACTACTCTTTCCCCAATACCTAAAGTGGTATCTGGCACCAGTGTACATGCACAGTGAATATTTGCTGAGAGCACCCTTGTGGTATTAACATTTTCGATAAAATCACCTTATTGTACTTCCTGTACCCTGAAGGAAGAGGGAAGAAGACTAATTTGACTTGATAAGCCACTGCTGAATCTGCTGGAACCGAGAGCATCATATTTTAAACACTGAGTGATAATTGAGAGGCTTGAGGACTTGTTTGGTTATTCAGCATTTATGTTGTTGCTCTTAGCAGCTGTTGAATTAGCTTCTTACTCACTGCATACAGAGGGGTCAGTCCTTGGAGAAGGACATCATGCTTGGAAAGGTAGAGGTTTCGGTGTAAGAGGAAGATGCTTAACAAGATTGATTGACACTGTGATAGAACAGTAAGCAGAAATGTCTTAGAAGTGGTGAGGATGGCACAGAAGAAGGCAAGCTTTAGAGCCATTCCTAGGATTGCTATGCATTGTAGTCAGCTTGAAGGCACACAGCAACATTAGAGCAAATGTACAAAACTCTGCCTGGTCATTTGTTTCAGATTGAACTGTTGTCGTCTGTAGAGTTTTCATTGACCAATTATGAGAAGTAGATTTCCAGACCCTTCTTTAGTCTGGAATCGTCAGTGAAACCTGATCAGCATCATAGCTACACATAAGCCTCCATTGACAAATGGATAATGGGTGAGCCTGAAGTATACTGGCCAGGAATCAAACCCAGGACTCCTGCATGGACAGCTAGAATTCTACCACTGAACAGTCCTAATCTCTAAACTGACAAATTCCTTTTCTAAGGATATCTACCGGATCAAAAGAAAAGATATGAATGGGTTTTTTTGTTGTTGTTGTTGCTGAGTATGACTCATAGTGACCCTATGAACAACAGATCTGAACCCCATCCTTTCCTGTGCCAACCTCACAATCTCTTGAACTATTGCTTCAGTTACTGTATCAATCCATCTCGTTAAGGGTCTTCCTTTCTTTCATTGTCCCTCCACCTTTCCAAGCATGATATCCCTCTCCTCGCAACATGCCCAAAGTATCTAAGACAAATTTTTGTCATCCTTGCCTCCAAGGAGCATTTTGGCTGCACTCTGTCCACGACATATCTGTTTCTTTTGGCAGTCCATGAAATAGTCAGTACTCTTCTCTACCACCACAGCTCAAAGGCATTAGTTCTTCTGTCATCCTTTTTCACTGTCCAGTTCTTAGATGACTAATGACTGTAAAAGCTGTAACCTGAATCAGGCAAATGTTAGTCCTCAAACTGATAACATTGCTCTACAGTATTTTAGAGAGGTCCTTGACAGCAAGCAGACTTTCCCAGTGTAATACATTTCTTGATCTCCGGACTGCTGATACCAAAGGTATTGATTGTGGATCCAAGTAAGATGAAGTTGTTGACCATTTTAATCTCTTCTCCTTCTATCGCGATGTTACCCATCTGTGTGTTGTTGTTGTTGTTGTTATGTGCCATCAAGTCGCTTGCGACTCAAAGCGACCCTATGTACAACAGCCCTAAAGTCTGCTGTGTCCTGTGCCAATCGCCCCATCTCCGATACACCCATCCCGATTATCCCAGTCACTGAATCAATCCACCTCATAGGGGGCCTTCCTCTTCTGCACTGTTCCTCCACCCTACCAAGCATGATGTCCCTCTCCAAGGACCTGTCCCTCCTTGCAACATGTCCAAAATATGTTAGATGGAGCCTCAGAATCCTTGCCTCCATGGAGCCACCTGGTTTAACCGTTTCCAGGATGAATCTCTTTGTTTTCCTAGCAGTCCATGGTACCTTCGATACTCTTCTCCAGCACCACAGCTCAAAGGCATCAATTCTCCTTCTATCCTCCTTAGCCTCCCATCTGTGTAGTGGTGAGGAATTTTGTTCTCGACACTGAGATGTTATATTAAGTGGGTAAAAATGCACAGTAGATGTGATAAGGTAACTCAGAATGGTGATGAAAGGGTATTTATTTATTTCCCCTCAAAGGTGTTTCGTGGGACACCCTCCTTGATGAGCTTCTCCTGGGCATCTTCTCGTATCTGTGTCTCCCCGAGCTCCTGAAAGCCTCCTGCGTGTGTAAGACATGGTACCGCCTCGCGTAAGTACAGTTTCTCCTTAGGCATGTATGGAGAGGAAGGTATTCTTTTCCTCTCACTTTTTCCTGGTAAGTCTAAAAAGCAGGAGAAAGAGGAACAGTCTCCTCCTGTGTAGTTTATAGCCTCTGAAAAAAATTACTGTAGAGTCAACCATGAGTTGTTTTGAACTCTGTAACAAGAAGAGAGGGAGAAACCTAAAAACGTACAAGAATAGAGTACTACTTCAAGAAAACCATGTTTATTATTATTAGTGTCTGTTTCACAGTGTTAATGAGATTCATGTGCCATTTTGGAAGCCACCTTTCCCCAGAGTTCTGCTGTCAGTCTAAAAGCACGTGGTTTGAATTTACAGCCTCTGAAAACCCACTGGAGGCTCAGCTATGAGTCGGTTCAACTCAGTGGTACATAAGAAAATTTGCTTACTGCTGGCCAGGGAATTCTGGTGACATAAGTAGTGTGTTACATGTTGAGCTGTAACTGAAAGGACAGGGGTTCTAATCCACTAACTGCTCCGTGAGAAAGAAGTATATATAGTCTCCTCCTGTGAAGATTTACTGCCTCAAGCCAGACAGATGATCAATATGAGTTGGAATTGACTTAATGTCAGTGAGTTCTGTGTTTTAATTGGAGACCATGCGGTGTGTTCAGAGTGAGGGGAACACAGAGGTGGTCAAGGCAGGCTCGGAGTATGGACTCGCCTGGTCCCACAGGGATCAGGAGCTGAGGCTGAGTTCACAGGACCCAACAGCAGAGACCTGTACTCCTTCTCTGCTCATTGTTCTCCCCAGCTCGTCAGGTGGTAGGGAACTTCGTATAAGATGAGGATGACAGAGCCTGTGCGGGACAGTCATGAGGATGGAATGTTAAGATCCGTCTGCTTTCCCAGGCTCGGGGAAGAGTTCAGCCACCGTTACCAACAGTTGCTGGTGCTTTTGTTTAGCTGGTCCACCTTTCAGGTGTGGAAGGTGCGCTGCCACCTGGTGTTCGCCTGGTGAAGTAGGAGGGCCCTAAAGGGCCGCAAGTTGTAGTAGACCTTGTTTCCCAGGTGCAGGGAGCTGCAAGTAAGATGAGGGTGAGGATGATTTGAGGGAGGCACTGTTGAGCCTACATCAGCAAGTGTGCCAATGCATTATCTCAGTTGTAGGGCAGGGAAGACCAGTGTTAGGAGTCTGTGAAAGCAGAGCTCCCCCATGAGACAGCAGGAATCCAAGGTCTGGGTGACTCCACATTCTTCACTCTTAACACCATGTCTAGATATGCTCAGCTGAGTTTGTGTAGCTCCTGAGTTTATCCTCCTGCATGTGCTAGAAGCCATATTTGTTATTTGGGAAGATAGTTTGTATTCCAAACTGTTTCCAGGTTATTACAGGTTACAGCAATATACCTCTTTGTAAGAAGAAAACTTAAGGGCCACACTGAGATCTGAGACAAGCAGAGAAAGGCTGTTTTTGAAGCCAAAGTAGATTTCTGTCTAGACACGAGAGTGCCACTCGCTTAGGAATTTCTGATCTACCACTTCCTGCCGTTCTAACTCAGCCACCTTCCATTGGGTTTCTGAGGCTGGAAATCTTGATGAGAGGATACTGCCCATCTTTTTCCCTCAAAGCAGTTAGAGGATTTGAACTGCTGACCTTTTGATTAGCAGCCCAGAATGTTAACATACCACAGCAGCAGAGCTCTGCCTTTATAATGTTGTTATGTGCTGTTGAGTTGCTTGCAAATCATAGTGAACCTATTTACAATAGTTCTGAACCCGGTTCTATCCTGAGCCAATCTCACTGTCTCTGACACACCTACTCCCATCATCCCTGTTACTAAGTCAGTCCATCTCATCTGGGGTCTTACTCTCCTACACTTCTCTCCGCCTTCTCAAGCATGATGTCCTTTTCCAAGGACAAGTCCCTCCTGACCACATGTCCAAAGTGTGTGAGACGGAGCTTCAAAATCCTAGCCTCCAAGGAGCAGCCTGGTTTCACTCTCTAGGAAAGACCTGTTTGTTCTCTTGGAAGTCCATAATGTTCAATACTCTTCTCCACCACAACTCAAAGACATCGATTCTTCTTATGTCATCCTTAGTCATTGTCCAGCTCTCTGATGCATAGCAAGTAATTGTGAAGACCGTGGCTTGGATCAGAACTTAGTGCCTGAACAAAAGTTCCCTTTTGTGCTTGTATTAAATTTTTAAAATAATTAGTAAATTTTAATAAATGTTAGTAAATTTAATTTTAAATGTGCCTAGTTGTATGCCTCTGTTATGGTATTTGTGGAGCCCTGGTGACCTAGCTGGTACCAGCAAGTTTGAATCTGTCAGCTGCTCCAAGGCGGAACGATGGGCAGTCTCCTTCTGTAGAGGTTTGTTGCTCTGCAACCAGAAGAAAGACAGCTCTGAGGCAGAACTGACTTGATGGCACTGGATGGATTCTTGTGCTATTTGAGGAGCTCTACTGGTGCAGTGTTAAAGCTCTCAACAGCTAACCACAGGTTCACATCTACCACCTGCCCTGTGGACAAAATATGTGGCTGTCTGCTTCCATTAGGATTACTGTCTTGGAACCCTATGTGACAGTTATACTCTGTCCAATAGAGTTGCTACTGAGAGTTGAAATTGATGGCAGAATATTCAAAATACTTTCCATAACTCGCTCCTTTTAGAAGCAGTGCCTGGAATTGAGGGATAGTCTGACATGTTCTGTATATAGATTGAAAAGGTATGGAGCTAGGACACATCCCTGGCATACACCCTTCCCAATTTTGAATTATGCAATGTTTTCTTGCTCTGTTCTGATGACTGCCTCCTGGTCCAAGTATAGGCTTCGCATTAGCACGAACAGGTGTTCTGGGATTCCCATTCTTCTCAGAGTTAGCCACAGTTTGTTGTGATCCACATTGTCAAATGCCTTTGCATAATCAATGAAACACAGATAAACATTCCTGTGGTACTCCCTGATTTCATCCAAGATCCATCCAACATTAGCTACAATATCCCTAGTACCACAACCCCTTCTAAACCCAGACTGGACTCTTGGCAATTCTCTGTTGATGTGCTGTTCCAGTCATTTTTTTATAATCTTTAACAGAATCTTGCTTGCATGTGAAATCAATGATATTCATAATTTCCACACTTTCAGATCACCTTTCTTTGGAATGGGAACAAATATAGATCTCTTCCAGGCAGTTGGCCAAGTGGTTGTTCTCCAGATTTCTTGACACAACTTGGTGAGCACGTCCAGGGCAGCATCTGTTAGCTGAAATATGTCAATTGGTATACCATCAATTCCTGAGGCCTTATTTTTTGCCATTTCCTTCAAAGCAGCTTAAACTTCTTCCTTCGTCACCATAGGCTCTTGCTCATATGTTGTTTCATTAAATACTTCTGTGTCTACCAATTCCTTTTGGTACAATGACTCTGTATACTCTTTCCATCTTCTTTTAATACTTCCTGGATCATTTAATATTCTGCCAAAAGCATCCTTAAGTATTGAAACTCAAGGTTTGATAATAAGTCAATAAAATTTTCAAATACATCATACGACATTGAAAAATGAAATTTTATTTTCTGGACTCAGATTATCGCATTGCTAGTGGTGGTCCTGAGCCATCTGCATAGGATGTGTAAAGAGAAAAGTGGAAGCCTTACTATGCTGTGCAAAAGAAGTATTCAGTGACGTTTTGAAGAACTAGAGCTACTGGTTGAGTTGACTTGGAAGCTAAGATCCCTTTAGAATTTAGCAGTTACATTCTCTTGTGATGTCATTGTTGGCCCTCTTCAAGATTCTGTGTGATCCACTGAACTAACCAGACACCCCTGTTTTCCAGGAGTGATGAGTCTCTGTGGCAGACCTTGGACCTCACAGGTAAAAATCTGCAGCCAGCCGTGATAGTCCACCTGCTATCTCGAGGAGTGATTGCCTTCCGCTGCCCACGGTCTTTTATGGACCCACCTTTAGTTGAATATTGCAGGTAAAAACCAAACTTTATTTCCTAGAGAGAAAAAAAAATTCTAAATTGTGAGATGGGGGGGGAAATTCAGAAAACAGTTCTTATTTTGGGGTGTCCTTCATGGCATATCTTGCTATGTGATTTTATGCCCAAACATGACACCCTTGCTGTTTTAACCTGGGGTTACTTTTTCTGGCTAAGAGATGGACACATCTGGCTTCTGACATTTGGTCTTTAACAAATGGGGAACATGAATATTTACTAGCTGATGGAAAGTTTCCTCTCTTTCTCCCTCTGCCCTTTTTTGATCAATAATATGGTGTCAGGTTTATACCAATTTTATGGCTTCGAGTTTCTGTTGTCGAAAAATTGGCAACCTGGGGTAAAAATAGCCTTGGTTTTGTTTCAGTGTGTAAGACTGTTTTGAAGAACGATTCTGACTGGCCTGTATATTTAGATTTCTGACAGTGTCATATTATGATGTGGTCCTATATCATACTTGAGTGCACCAACAACAAACTAAGCAGAAAAATGATCTAGAAACAGCAGTGCTGCAAATGAAGCCCATGTGTTCGGACACTAGTATTTTCCCTTCTTTCTCTAGTCACACGCGTCCCCCTGGGTTTTTATCCTCCTCCTGTGGCCGCTACCTTCTCTGCCTTCATCACACGCGTGCTTTTCTTTCTTCAGTCCAAGGTCTGTCCCTGACTGCCTTCTCTTCTTGATCCACACAGCTCTTGGGCCCAGCTGTGTGCCGACACTCGCCTTGATGATCCGCCCTCAAAAACAAAAATAAAGCCAACCCTGTAGCTCAGTGTACAACAGGGTTTCCAACACTGTCCATCTTTGCAGAACCCATTATCTTTCTCCTGTGGTGGGTTCAAACGGCCACACTTTTGGTTCGTCACTGAGCACTTAACTACTGCTCCACCAAAGCTCTTGTGTTAATAATGCCCAGGACTCTCAAATGCTCATCTTAGCCCTCTGTTTCAAACAAAGTCTATTTCTGATTACCTAGAAGCTTCCATACTAGAAATGACTCAAGTGCCTCAGTGTTACGCCAAAGGGAGACCATTGCTGTCAGCTCCATTCCTACCCCTGGTGACTTGGTGTGTGTAAGAGTAGAATCGTACTCCGTGGAGTTTTCAAAGGCTGACTTTTCAGGAGTAAATCAGCAGGGTACAGGCGCTGTAGTGGCCTGACTATAAGGGCATTACCTTGTCATCGCAAAGGCCTTTCTGATGGTTTAAATCCACCAGCAGCAGCTCTGCAGGAGAAAAAGGCACAATCTCCTCTCAGGCAATTTACAGCCTCAGTGCCCCAGTGTAGGGTCAGCTCTGAGTTGATTCCAACTCAGCAGCAATAAATTTCAGTGAGAGATCACCAGGCCTCTGGGTGAACTTGGACCTCCAACTTTTCAGTAAGTCGCCAAAGGCGATTTATATCACCCTAGAATGCTATATTTGCATATCTATAATTTACATGTTGTTGTTGTGTAATTCTGAGGCAGAACTGACTCATAACTGACTCTCCAGTGGTTTTTCAGTGGCTTTAAAACATATGGGAAGGGATTGCCTAGCTCTCTTCCCTGAAGCATCTGGTGGATTCAAACTACTTGCCTTTGGTATAGCAGCACAGCTCCCTACCACTTGGCCACCAAGCTCACCCTGCCAGTATTTTTCCCTGTTTTAGTAAATGCTCTACCATTCACACACTCACCCTCCCCGGGAACTGGGACTCTTCATAGGCTTACTCTTTCACCCACCACTTGTTCATTCTCCTGGCACCCACTCATTTCCCAGGTGAGTCTCTGTCGGTGACATCATCTGTACTCCACTAAATCTTGAATGAGGATGGGAATGAACCAGGGAGAGTTTGCTGTGCAGCTGAATCTCTGACTTGTACTCAGAATGTGTGCTGCGAGTCTTGTTTTTGTTCCTGGTTGCTGATTGGAGGAGGGAGGGAGTGAGTTTGGATTTGATCTGAGGGGTTTTGTGTCAGCTATCTTATAAAGTCCCTTTTCCTGTTCTGTGTCCAGTGCCTTTCGCGTTCAGCACATGGACCTGTCGAACTCTGTAATAGACGTGTCCACCCTCCACTGCATTCTGTTTCAGTGCTCCAAGCTACAGAATCTCAGTCTGGAAGGCCTAAAGCTTTCGGATCCCCTTGTCAAGTAAGTACATGCCACACTTTTGTTTTCTGAAGACAACTGGGAGCACCCTTCCATTCCTGTCCACATGGACACTGGAACTCTCCAGTACTCCATCTCCTGTGAAACATCAGGAATCCGGTTCAGATTCACCAGACGCTGTGCTGGAGAAGGAGGGACAATCTCCTTCTGTGCCAGTTGGATCCGATTAGACTGTACACAACAAACATACAAAAGTGAACCATTATTTTTAAAAAAATAAACCATCAGGAATCATGCAATAGCATTTTGAGAGCTAACTCTAGGCCACGCCCTTTGCTAGATTCTAAGGAGGTTTGGTGACCCAGTGGGTAAAAAGTTGTGCCGCCAACTCAGATAGGTGGTTTGAATCCACACGCTGCTCCTTAGGGAAAGAGGAGCAGTCTCCCTCTAAGCAATATATAGCCTTTGAAAACTGATGAGTCTGTTCCATCTTCCTTGCATGTAGTAACTGTAGAGATCACGGATTTCTCCTGCCTCATTCATGGGAGAGGATCATCAAAGTGCTGTGCCTTTGTTAAATGCGTAAGTGGATTTGTGACAGGAAGTCTAATTAAATGCAGGGAGGGCAGCCTGTTTGGAGAAAGTGACTCTGTGTATTGAATGTCATCAGGAAGGAGATCTCCAAGTGAGTGGGCAGAGGACACAGCCCAAGTAAACTGCCTGTGTGGCTCTAAACAGGGGGATTAGAAGTTACTGGAGCCAAAGGTTCAGTGAGGGGAACAGACAGTGAGATAGACAGGGACAATCCCAACAGGCCTCTGATCTCCTGTGAGACGTCTGAACTCCTGTGGTCAACTGAAGATGGAAGGGTGGTGGAGAGAGTGATTTTGAAGAATTAGGGAGACATGTCAGAGTTGAAATTTAGAAAATTAGCGTTAGGCCCCTCCCTAGAGCATCCATCAAGCATTCCATCGAAATAATTACAGAAATTCAGATGAACTTTGGTGGCGGAGGTCTGTAGAGAATTGCTAACCCAAAGGCTTCATCTCTAGTAGTTAGAATCCACCAAACAGCTCTTAGGGGAAAAGTTGGGCATTCTTGTCCTGTGCAATTTACAGCCTCAGAAACCCAGTGGAGGGTCCATTCTGACTCCACAGCAATGAGTTTGAGGCTTTTGAGAGCAAGTAGAAGAAGGCTGCTGTATTCATTCAGGAGATAAATGATGAGTCCTGATGTACACGTGATAACTGCTGCCGAGCATAAGCAACATGCCAGATCCTGTTCCTTTAATGGGCTCACTTAATTCTCACAGTAAACCCCAGAGAGTGTCTTATTACTGTGTCTTTTTCACAGATGTAGGAACAAAAGTCCTGAGAGGTAAAATAACTTGTTCAACATTACACACTTAGAATGTGGAAGAATTGACAGTTGAACCTGACAGTGGGGTGTGACTCTGGAGTCTTGATTATAGCATGAGGCAGATTGTTAGGGTGGTGCTGTTTTGGTCACTTGTAAATTGGGTTGCGGAGTTTTCATATCTCCAAATTCTAACCCAGGTAACCTCAGGCCGCGTTGGCCAGCGCGTGCACCCTGAAGCATTGCCGGAAAAAGAGTTTTGGGCATCAGCACCTGGCTTCAAATGGAAGACAAGCAGCATTAACCCATGAGAAGGCAATCCTGGAGTGGAAGTTGTACATTACAGTTGTACTTAACAACTTTAAATTGCAGTCATATTGGCTATATCATAAGAGACTCATAGCAGCACGATATGTTTAGAATCACAGAAATCCTGATGGCTTGGGACTTAGGCCATCACATAAGGGGCCGGTCAATGGGAGATGGGTATTGAATGCTGTAGGCAAAAGTAGGAAGGGATAGTGGTGGAGTAAGGAAGCATGGGTGGGCAGCAACATTGAATCTATTGGTCATTGCTATAACTGGGCAATTGTCTTTCATCTGTTCTTTTCTGTGGAATGCTTGTCTGTCAGATACTATTATATATATTTAAAGATTGAGACAGACTAGGAAGAAGGATTTGCCATACACTTCCAAAAAAAACAGGCCTTCGAAAACCCTACATATAATAGAGCACACTTAGACTATTGCTTGGACTAGCATACATGGCAATTCAGACTGAGATCTTAGAAATGGAAATACAGAGAAGAAGGAACAGCTGTAAGCAGACACTAGTGATTGGAACGTGGCATGTGAGAAGCATGAATGTAGGAAAATTGGACATTGTTAAGAAAGAAATGAAATTTATAAATATTGACATACTAGGTATTGGCAAACTGAGATGGCTTGGCATGGGACATTTTGAATCAGACGATTATATGATTTACTGTGCCGAAGATGAAAAAATGAGGAAGAATGGGTTGGTTTCATAATTAAAAAAGTCATTTCTAGATCCATCCTGAAATACAATTTGGTGAGTGACAGGATAATATCCATACACATACAAGGAAGTCCAGTGAATACCACTATCATTCAAATATATGCACCAACAACTAGAGCCAAAGAGGAGGAAATAGAAGATTTCTAC